TACCCGACATACTTCCGGAGCATCGATACATGAAACACTAGATAAACACCCTATAGACTAGGCGGCAACGCAAGTTCATAAGCCGCATCTCCAATCTTCTTAATTATTTCAAAAGGCCCAATATACTGAGGGCTCAACATGCCCTTCTTCCCGAACCTCAACACACCTTTCATGGGTGAAATCTTGAGCAGAACCTTCTCCCCAACCATGTAAGCAACATCACGGACCTTCCGGTTGGCGTAACTCTTCTATCACCAACCATGTAAGCAAATTCTACCAGTGGCAGAAATCCCCCAAAGTCAATGACACAAGCGCGTAGCATATCCTCTAATATCTGAATAGTGCGCTCGGGCTGTCCGTCCGTCTAAGGGTGAAATGATGTACTCAGCTGAACATGTGTACCTAATTCTTGCTGCACAGCTCTCCAAAACTGTGATGTAAACTGCGTGCCAAGAGTTGTTCCTAAACCTTCGAATCACTATTCCACTTTATCACGCATATACCCGGGGGTGATCCCACGCCACCCTATTCTATACAGGCCTCACAATACCACGTAATTGAAGATCATTACTTCAACCTTAGCCTATAAACCTTGGAATTTAATTTCCAACATTCAGAATTTCTTTTTAAGACCCGAATCTCATATCTATATATTGTATAAGTATGAACAATGGATGGCGCCTAAAGAGGTACTAGGTAAGGCAACTTCTCACAAAATATTTCCAACACTTTTAACAAGAATGAATTAAAACATATTTAATAGCAACAGTTCTCATAAACGGGATTAAAAACTCCAAACATAACGCGGAATTCTCAACTATCGTGGTGTCACAGAGTACATGAGTATCTATACATCACAAGTCTGGAAAGCACGGTCTATAATAGTCTGAGACCAAATACAGTAAACAAGAAGATAGGGAAGGAGAGCCAAGGTCTGCGAAACACCGACAACTACTTCAGAATCTCCGAAAAATCAAATGTGCGAAGGAATCAACACCCACTATGTCCGGGAACACCTGAATTTGCACACGAAGTGTAGGGTGTAGTATGAGTACAACTAACTCAGTAAGTAACAATACTAAATAAAGAGCTAAAGATAGTGACGATCTTCACAGCTAAGTTTAATTACAGAAATTTCCAACATAAGAAATTAGGCATGCTTTCAAGATCAACATTTAAAACGCAAATAATAATTTCATATTAAATTCGACTAAAATAGAAGATAATGTCTTTCGGAATTTTTCAAAACATTGATATATGATAGGCGAAGTACAACAATAATGAAATCAATGCATCCTCTCACAGCAACAATCACTTAGTCCTCCCGTTCACTCCAACCTCACAATTATTCTTTCCTCATAGTCACTGATTCCTCTCAATCACTCAGTACTCAGCACTCGCATTCAGTAGGTACCTATGCTCACTAGGGTGTGTACATACTCCGGAGGGGCTCCTTCAGCCCAAGCGCTATAACAAGCTAATCATGGCATAAAATAATAAAACATGATGCGGCGTGCAGCCCGATCCCATAAATATCCTCACAATTAGGCCCTCAGCCTCACTCAGTCATCAACCTCTAAGTCTCTCGGGCTCTCAGAAATCATGATAAGCAGCCCAACAGTAATGATATGATGCATCAATAATGAATAATAGAGACTGGGATGTAATATGCAAGTATAATCGTGACAGAGTACGTAACAGTAATTTAACAGATAATTCAACATGTACACGACCTATGTGGGTCCCAACAGTGTCAACACATGGTTTAATCATGATTTATAGTTTAATTTCTCTAATACGTGAAACAATATATGGATATCAACAAATTATTCAACTACACAGTTCCATGGAATTGACCAAGTCACAATTCCTACGGTGCACGCCCACATGCCTGTCACCTAGCATGTGCGTCACCTCAAAACCAATCACATAACACATAATCCGGGGTTTAATACCCTCACGACCAAATTTAGAACTATTACTTTTCTCAAACTGTGTTATTATTTATTCTGAAGTGCCTTTGCCTCGCGAATCGGCCTTCAAACGTCTCGAATCTAGCCACAAATAATTTGATTCAGTCAATACAAATTATAGGAATTAATTCCATATGAAAATACTAATTTTCCAAAAAAAAATCGAAATTGCACCGAAAATCGCCCGTGGGTCCACGTCTCGGAACCCGATAAAAGTTACAAAATCTGAAAGCTCATTTAAACCAGAGTCTAACCATACCAATTTTACTTAATTGCAACATCAACTCGACTCTCAAATCTTCAAATTAAACTAAGAGGGTTTTCTAAATTTTCCAATTTAATTCATCGATTAAATGTTAAAAACAATCATAGATTCGGGTAATTTGACCAATACTGAGTTAAGAACACTTACCCTGTTATTTTTCATGAAAATCTCCCAAAAATTGTCTCTTCCCGAACTCCAATTCGTCAAAAATAAAAAATGGGATGAAGTCCCATTTTCAGAACTTAAACTTTTTGCGCAGTGATTCTTTCTTCGCGTTCGCGAAGCACAAAAATGTGATGCCAAAATTTTCTCCTTCGCTTTCGCGACCTCCTCGTCGCGTTCGCGAAGCCTTCCGACCTCTGTCCTTCGCGTTCGCAAGCCATGAGTCGCGTTCGCGAAGGCTTAACGCCAGGCAGGCCCCCATCTCCCCTTCCTCTTCACGTTCGCGTCCGCCCACTCGCGTTCGCATAGGCTTCCCGAGCCTCTTCGTAGCGTTCGCGATGGGCAAATCCGGACAACCCAAAAATCCTTCTTCGCGAACGCGTAAGACCCTTCGCGTTAGCGAAGAACAACACCAAATACCAGTTCCAGCAGTTGCAAAAACAAAGAAAAACGATCCGAAACCATCCCGGAACTCACCCCGAGGCTCGCGGGACCTCAACCAAATACACCAATAAGTAGGGCTGCTTATCGGGCGGATTGGGCGGTTAATTACTCTTAACGGTTTGGCTTAACGGTTATCGACTTTTAAATGTATTAATCCGCTAGCCACCTGATAAGATATCGGGCGGATTGGTATCGGTTTAGCTCTTATCGGACGGTTATTGGGCGGTTTATCGGCCTAATTCAATCTATATTGCATGTATTAATTGTTTGATGACCGCCTAACATACAAATTCAGAATAGGAAATTATACATTGAGTCCAGACATACATGTCTGTTAACGCCTACATAAGAATGATGTAGTGTCATGTGTTGTAGAGTGAAAAAAGAANAAAAATTTTAATCTGTTCCCCGTCCGTTAAACCGTTAAACCGATACCAATAAGCCATTAAGCTTTGGTTTCGGTTCGATTTTCGGTTTCGGTTTGGTTTTGAACACCCCTACCAACAAGTCCTAAAACATAATACGAATTTAGTTGAAACCTTGAATCACATCAAACAATACTAAAATCACAAATCACACCCCAATTCAAGTTTAACGAAAACTAACGAATTCCAACTTCTACATTTGATGCCGAAACTTATCAATTCAATTCCAATTGACCTCAAATTTTGCACACAAGTCATAAATGACATAACAGAGCTATAAAAAATTTCAGAACTGGATTCCGACTCCGATATCAAAAAGTCAACTCCCCGCTCAAACTTCCAAACTTAAATTTCCATTTTCGCCATTTCAAGCCTAATTTAGCTACGGGCTTCCAAATAATTTTTCGGATACGCTTCGAAGTCCAAAATCACCATACATAGCTATTGGAATCATCAAAACTCTATTTCGGGGTCGTTTACACATAAGTCGACATCCGGTCACTATTTCAACTTAAGATTTAAACCTTGAAACTAAGTGTTCCAATTCATTCCAAAACCTCACCGGACCCGCACCAATTACCCCGGCAAGTCACATAACAATTGTAAGACACAAATTGAGCAGTAAATGGGGGAACAGAATTGTAATACTCAAAACGACCGGCCGGGTCATTACAGATTGAAATAATATTTATGTAACAAAAAAATTCGAAAAACCAGAAAGAACCGAAAAAATCGAATCAATCCAAACCGATATAGTTGGTTTGGTTTGCTTTTGATAAAAACCAAGTCAACCCGGTCCATATACACCCCTACTCTTAATACTTAGTATTGCTATTTTATAACGCGCGGGAAACTCAATGTGGCATATTAAACAAAAAGTATGTTTTACTAAAGCAANGGGCAGCATACTCTATTTCTGTGAAGTTATCAAGTAGTAGTAGAATCATGGACAATTATCATATTCAACTCTTGCACTATCAAGTATCAGCTAGAGAATAAAGAAAACGTAGAAGTGGAAATTGAGTTATTCCCGGAACATGAATTCATTAGTGATTCTTTAATGCTTTTCCAGTTTCCCTTTCAAGCAAATGGAACAATATTAAGTATGGATCTGAAGTCCAAAATTAAGGTTGTCTTGTCTCTGTAATTTTCAACTTTAGGAGTAGCAATATCTTTGTGACTAAAGCTAGACTAGGAGTACCTTTTGTTTACCTATTTATATTCTTATTAAGATCAGGGAGTTAATTTTCTCCGATGTATTGTCTCGCAAAACAAACAGCACATTTGTCCCACAACCTCTTTTAAGAAAGCAAACAATTTTGGATATTATCTAACTTAGAATATTTAACTACCAAAAGAAGAAGAAGAAGAACTACTGTTAGTTTTATGCCAACTGAAGAAAGAAACTTCAGATAAGTCAATTTTCCCACTTAAAATTGTTTGTGCCCGAAATTTCTCTTGTTCAGTTCACTGTGCTCTGGGCCTTGTTCTCGTAACCAAAAGGAGTGTATCTTGACCATGGCATTCTATTTTGTTCTTTACACCATCTTCCATCATTATAGATGAATCTAACATATAAAGTAGCAGATATAGCTTCAGCTGTCGTCACCTCACTCAATCCTACAGCGGGAGCTCAGTGTCGAGGCCCTACAAGCGAGCAAAGAAGCTTATATGCTTTGTAGATTGGATCAAACGCTCCATGGCAAGTCGGCAATGGCCGTGCTTCAGGCATTGAGCCTTAACTAGTACAGTGTACATTAAATTTGACATAAGGCATAAGCAAGGGTACTTTAAAGACCCCCTCTGACCTATCTATTTGGAAATAAGGTTACAAACCTGGATTCTAAAATTCTTCCTACTATTTTGGATCTCAAATATACACCATTACAATGCAAATAGTCAAGATTATCACAGCCTATGATAGTATCTCTTCTTCCATGTTAAAAGTGCAATAAACAAGCAAGGCTTATCTGTTATCTTGAGGAATGGTATTCACTTTGGGAGGTGTGATGAACAAAACAATTTCAGCTCCATAATGTGAAAGCATCAGTCATCAGAACTATAATCACTGGATTCTTGCAACATCTCTGGAGCAGCACAGCAGAATGATTCCTTGTCTTTGAGAAAAAGACAGCTCCCATCGGAGTTCCATTTCAGATCAATTACAGCAAATTGAGGCAATGGAACATTTATGCAATAAGCACCAGAAGGTGTCCACATGTATAAGTGGGAGCTTCCAGTACATAAAACCAAACGTGGACATGTGGGATCCCAGGCTGCAGCTCGGATGGAATCTTTTTGAATTAAGATGGCGGCTAGCTCAAGATGGTTTATGTCCCATATCCAGAGTACAGTAGGCATGCTATCATTGCGAGTGCAAACATATTGGCTATCGCAGCTCCATGACATGAGGCCTGCAATTAATTTTCACATATGACAGTTAACAAGGTACTCACTTATGGGACTTGAGAGTAGTTTCTCTTAAGGAAGATTCCAAAAATAACCACCCAAAACAAGCTTCTGCTTGTGGATCTTAGATAGATAAATTCAGAGAGGTTTTGTATTGATCCTTGACCAGAGGCGGATTCATAGAGTTAAATATGAGGCACGTGAACCCATGATCTCTCCACAAAATTAAATATTTTATGTAAATATTTTTTTAAATTAGTATAATATTAACTGTTGGCACTCATACTCTAAAAAGGTTGAATGGTGCACTTGGTTTAAGGTTGAGTTATTTACCAAGAGAAAGAGGGGATCAATTCCCACTTAATACATTTTTTCCTCTTTTTTTTAAGTAGCGCACCCATATACTAGAAATCTTAGATCCGCCTCTGTCCTTGACGATGAAGATACTAGGCTGATACAGCTTACTTTGACTGAGATCAGATTCTCACCAAACAGGCAGCTAACAGTCCTCATTAAGATATTAGAACATTATCATCTACAACTTATTGCTCAAGCCAATAAATTTTATAGAGGTTTGAAATTGTTAAGAAAGAAAACAAGAAATTGGAACTACATGGCCACTAAAAAGATAATAAATTTTCAAGATCTCCTATACGAACATCCGATCATTTAACTTCAGTAAACATTTGCCATACGTGGAGTGACATTCATAAATAAACAGGAACAGTTAAAGAGTAGGAAGACAAAAGATAGTGATGATATATTTCTCACATTACAAAATATTGGAACCAAAGACTTACTGATTCCTTGCTTGGGATTTGGCTTATCTGCAGGAGGTTTCTGAGAAGGGAGACTGATAGGTATCTCCAAAACATTGTACCTGACTTGAATATGTGACTCCGGGGCATTATCTGGGAAAAGGGAAGAAATGGTCTGACAATCTCAAAAGTTCCTAACAAAAAAATGATTAAAATACAAAAGAAATTTTGAGTACATCCACAACCAACTTATCATTTCTGCCAATGAGCCGATTTAGAAAAGGACTACCTACCATAGCTAGGACAAGTTTGTATGCAGTAGTTGATTGACATTTGCATTCAGTTTGGCAGAAATACCTCTAGCTTTGTTTTCCAGAAAACAATTTATGCATGTTTGAATTATCGGGATTAGGGTAAGTAAACTTTTGAGGAAGTATCACTAAAGTCTTCAAAACATTATAGAGACATTCATAGTTATTAATTACAAGTAGATTCAATTAAACATCTTTACTTGCTATTACGCTTGTCCCTAAATATCCAAAAAGTCGAAAATGGAAAAAAAAAACGCTGGCTATTTAGACCAAAACAAAGGAGGACGGTAAAAAGAAAAGAAAAAAGAAAAAGAGGGAAGGGCCTGTGCAACCGTAAGGTCTAACCTCCGAGAAGCCAATAAAAGAATGTATGAAAATATGGCAACCTATATAAAATAAAATTTTGGGCCTGTTCGGGAATTTTCAAAAATCAGAAACCAAATATGGATTTGAAACCTAGCATCAAATGATTGGTTTTGGAATTCAAACAGAGCTAAATGTAATTGGAGACATGATGTCAAAATCCAACCTGAACAAGTAAGAGAAAGCCAACAAATGTTATAGGTTTATACAAAAAAAATGATAAGGTTTATACGATACAGCCATAGAGAGTGCTAACATTACAATTGCTTTTGCTCACATCGCGAAATTTACAATCGCACAAAAGTAAAACTAATGTGGAACTTATTGAAGAGTGTGACCACCTCATCTAAAAAGCTTAAGTTGTTAGAGAAGGAATACTTTTGTTTATTTACTTTAAGTCTCATGTACGGCCATGACTTTTTTTCATGAACCAAGCATGTGGAAACATCTGTTTGATGGATGACAGTAAGATGCAAACTTAGAATGTATGTTTGCTCTACACTGTTATTTATTTATTTTAAGCTTACAACAAAAGCATATATATTTTTGCATTTTATTTTTTTACCTTTAAAACATATATTTTAAGTATATAGTTTTCCCCAGAATTCTTTGGAATATTTTCCTCTGTTCCTATCATAAGGGGCTTCCTGTCTTTCTTCAAACCCCTGACTCCTCCACTCTTTCAAAAAATTGAAGCTAACCTAGCAAATAAAATTTAATCATAGGATCCAAAGTTGCAATAAGAAAATAGAAGCAACTAGGAAAACTTGTTTTGCAAGCTGAGGGCAAAAGTTAGATAAGGCATGTTTAGTTTGCCAACTTTCACTAAACTAAGCTTTGTTTAAAACAAGAGTAAGCTTTTTCAAAGACAGTAGCAGTGCTTCAAAAGGAATTCCCTCTTCGTCACCTTATTTGAACATTTTAGTCTAGACCAAGTTGATACAGATATTGTGTTAATTTAACTTTGTTGGCAATTGGACAATGTGTTATTAGCTAGACAGACAGCTCAAAATCCAGAATGAGCAGATCAAAACCACAATTTCCATAAGACTAGTGAGTAAATGCATTAGAAGTTAATAACGCTCAACTGACTTATCCAGAAGCATTACAGAAGACAACAGGTTTTACTCCATAGAGACAGCATGGTATGCACCATTTAAATCAACGAAATGTGATTTGTCATTTCACTTGGTTTTTTCAGAAGAGTTTTGCCTCAGTGAATCTTAGGTTCCATAATTAGTGGAACTTGTTTCTTGAATTGCCACAAGAAACCAATAAAATCATGAAAATTGGCAGTTGGACACCAAAAAAAACATGATGCTTAACTTTCAAGATGAAGACAATGCTAACAAAAGAAAACACTAGTGCTCACCACTACTGTACTGGGCGAAATCATCATTAAGTGATAATTCTGACATATCAAGTTGCAATGGCTCATCCACTTCCTAACATTAAATAAAAAAATTATCAAAATCAATAAATAATGTCCTGCAAATATGGAGCAAAACAAGAGATTGCATACCTTGAAAATAGCAGCACAACAAGGACCTCTAACAGCAGATGGGTGCACAAATTCTGCAAATACTTTCCATGTCAGGTGATTCAGAACTCGTAACATCTGGTCATAGCTTCCTACAGCCAAAAACTGGCTGCAAGGTGACCATGAAACACTTTTTACTCCTAGTCCACTCTCATATGCTTGATACTTAGACAGGCACCTCCCATCTGGAGAATAAATCAGAACCTAAACAAAAACGAACCACATAAAGTCCCTTGGAGATAAAAACTAACAAAACATTCAAAGCTTTCCTGTATTTCTCACATTAAAGCTAATTTCACATAATCATTTTACAGTGATGAAGAAAATATTAGTTTTAGTTGAATTTTCGAAAGTGTTCTCCAAAAATTGAGAAAAAGTATAACTTTGTGAGAGGCTATAAACAGCGCATAGTGACTACCTTGTACTCGAGAGGAGAATCCCAGATGACTATAGCACTGTCGTCTGGAGACCACTGAACATCAGCCAAATCCAATGTGTCAACAGCAAAAACACCCATTATCTCCCATGTATGGCAAGACAGCAGATTAACATAATCCTTGCAATCGCGTCTAGTGCAGACAGCAGCAAACTTTCCATCCTTGGTAAATGATACCCCTTTAGACCCATGCTTTGGCCATTGGACATGTATGCACGCTGTGTTAAGCAGTGACCAAACAGTTAACCGTAGCTGAAACTCGGATGTGGTGAGTATGTGACGACTGTCCGGGCTCCACCTAGCATAAGCAACTCCTGCAGGACCTTCATCTATCTTACATGTCCACTCAGGTTGTGTCAAAGACCATGCTTGTATCATAGGTCTCTTGTAAAGACCACAAAGTATGTATTCAGAATCAGGGGCCCATTCAATGTATGTAATCTTGTCCAGACATGAAAACAGTTGCACAACCTGAAGATCCAAAAAAAAGAATCTCAGTAGGCTCAAGAAGGAAAACAGCCAGCTTGATTAATGAGCTTAACACCACAACATATGGCCAGAAACTAATTGCACATGTCTATTTTGTCCATTAACATCAGTCCCATTTCCTTTTTATTAATCTTCTCCACAAATTATCATTTCGCGGGCAACACCGCTAAATTATCTAAGGAACATTGACCTTATATTTTGACATACTGAGTAATCTAATGAACAAAGGGAAATCTCCAACTAATTTGCGAGGACGGAAGAACTTTAGAACACTGTAAAGGCAGACTTGCTTTTCTTCCTGTCTTCTTTAGAACAAGGTAATATCTTGTGTAAGCTTCACGTCCCCCATTTTGCTTATTCAGGCATTAAGAGCAGTTTTTCATTGATATTACATATCTAGAGATAATAAAACCATTGAAATCTAGATGGTATTATAAATAAAGCTGTGACATTTCCTATTCAGATAATGTGCAATCTGCTTGTTGCAGACAAGTATAAAAAAATATGAATCGGGTCCTTTCTATTTAGATAATGCGAGCATGTGGTAACTTGACAATTAACATCCAGTTATGTAAAAATTCATTAAAGATGAAAAATAAAAATGCAGGACCTTGAGAGAGAGAACGTCACGAATGACGAGGCGATAATCGACGGCGACAGCGAGGAAGCGAGCATTTGGTGAGAAAGCATAAGGGCCAGTTTGCTTAAAAGGTTCTGTAAACTCCATTAGAGAGGTCAAGTCAACTCAAATTATTAGCCTATAATGGAAACCCACATCATCTATCGAACACGCACATTGCTTGATTTTTTTCTACTTTATAGGTCAACAGATTTCAATTTCAGGCAAATGGATCTGTCGGAGTTCGAAAGGGGAAGGAATGTTGGAGAATGGAATCTATGGATCTCTGAGTTGTCGACTGTAACAGGTGTGGGAGAGTGAAAAAAGAAAAAAGTTGAATAAATTTTGAAATAGTGATACGTAGTACCTTAAAATTTGAACCTGTATTGGAGTAACATAATCCTTAGAAGCCTATATAAGCCATAAGGCAAAGGGACGGCCCGAGTTTCGAGTGTCAGTTTAGACCGGGTTCACTTCCAACTTCTTCTTTTTTCTTATTTGTTTGCTTAACTGCTAATTTCATTTCAATTTTTACCTCCCTTTTCTCACAAGTATGGCCGTCCAACGGGACGTGACGGGACGAGACGAGGCGAGATAAAATTAACGGGCCGGGACGGGACGATATTTAGTCGGGATAGTGACGGGACGGGACAAAATAGTAGGCTCATCCCGTCCCGCTAACAAACGGGATGGGACGGGACGGACGGTAGGCCCATCCCGTCCCGCTAACAAACGGGATGGGACGAGACGGGTTCGCTTAAGTGTCATTTTAAAAAAATATATTTAAGCATTGAGTTTGGCAACGGTTATTCTTTTGACAATAACTAAGTTTTTAAAGTTTGCAACAACTAGTTTATTTAATAAACTTAAAAATTAAACGAAAATTAAGAAACTAAGTAAAGAATTATAAAATATTAAAATAAAAGACTTGTAATGAAATATTCTAGTAATTATAAATTTATAATAGAGTTATAATTTATTTAATATAATTTCAAGTCATTAAATAACTAAGTAAGAGTGTAAGATAATTCATAAAAAAAATTCAAACGCTTAGAGTCTTTTATTTTATTAATAGAACTTTTAAATCTCACATACAAATATAATTCTGTTGAAGAGCACGTAATCTACACAGCCACCTCCTAGGTAGGGTCATCCGCTAATGAATGTCTATGATCTCCGATTTGAAATCTTGCCGCGCTAAAAGCAGTCTCCGATGCTACTGATGATGCCTGAATAGAAAGGATATCTCACGCCATTATTGAAAGTGTTGGAAAAGTATTGTCACGCTCCCTCTACCATGCCAAAAGTTGTTCTTTGCTTTCTTCGTCTTTAATACTTTCCAATCCTTGATTAAGATAAGAATCAAGTTCATCATCAATAGAGGAATCAAAACCTGTTATATCATCCATATCTTCCAATAGAATTTCTACTCTAGACTTAGAAGTAGAAGGAGCAGTTTTACCACCTGTTATTTTCATAGATTTATATTTATCAAACATTGATCTAATATAAGAGTATATGTTAGCTTGGCAGTCTTCGAGAGATGGTTGTTCATTTTCTTGAATTGCTAAATTCTCATAAATTTTATGAACAAGTATGGGTTAAGCATAGTAGAAATTAAATAAACTTGGGGAATAGGGAAAAAATACTTTTTAAATTTTACAATCATTTCATTAATGGCCGGTGCATTAGTTGAATTAGTTTTATACTTACTAAATGCAATAGAAATTCTACAAATATACCATAATATTTGTGTAACTGTAGGATAATATATACTAGAAAATTATTTTGTAGCATAATAATTTTTTTCTAAAATTTAGTAAGCAATTGGAGTCGTTGCCCAACGGCTAGAATTCAAAAAAAAAAAAGAACGCTGGACAGGCGGGACGGGACGGGACATGGACAAACGGGACGAAATGGTCATCCCGTCTCATCCCGTGTCCCGTTTAACATGGGCCCATCCCGTTTAGAATTAAGTGGGACGGGATAGGATCGGAACGGGACGCGGGATAGGACCGGGACGGGACGCGGGATGGGACCGGGATGGGACAGGACGCGGGACGGGACCGGCACGGGACGTCCCGTCCGTTGGACAGCCTTACTCACAAGCTGTATATCCTCTTTCGAGAAAATAACAAAGATAGTCCCTTATGTTTTGGGTAGGTTTAGAGTGTTCCATAGATATACCCTTAAGCAATTTTGCTCTTCTAAGTTTATCAAAAGTAAACATTGTAGACAATAAATTGCGTCAAAAACGAAAAATATTGCAATAATCATAGTATTTTATTTCAAACAATATGAGTATTACAATCTCTATGAATTCTCTTATTTACAATCTCTATGAATCATCTTATTCTTCTTTCCAATAGTAAATAAAAGATTCGACCTTAATCTTGAATTTTATTTTGCTTTAATCCAAGTGCTTGAGGTCTAATCTTGATCTTGACGTATTTTTAATCCAAGTGCTTGCAGCTAGTTCTTGAATCGTTGTCTTGATCTTTTAATCCTTAGAACACTTGAATGCTTGTAGCTTTTTCAGAAATCTGCTGTGTTTGATCCTCGAGCTCTCTTTTGCTTCTTGTTATAACTTCTGGTGTCTTTTCTGGGTTATGAAGTGTAACGGCCCGGCCGGTAATTTTGAGTGTATTAGCCTCGATCCCCTACTTACTGCCTCATCTTTGTTATATTGTAGTTACGTAACTTTTTGGGGTGTTGGTTTCGGGTGAGTTTCGAAGTGAAATGGGACACATAGTCCATAAGTTGGAAGGTTAAGTTGTAGGGGTTGACCGTAGTTTAACTTGTGTAAAGATGACTCCAGAATGGAGTTTTGAGGGTTCCAATAGCTCCGTATTGTGATTTTGATTTTAGGAGCGTGTCCGGATGTTGATTTGGAGGTCCATACGTCGTTTCGGCACGATTTGGCGAAAGCTGGAAAATGAAAAATTTTTGGGAAGCTTGACCGGGAGCTGACTTTATTGGAATCAGGGTCGGATCCTGATTTCGAAAGCTAGAATAGGTCTGTAATGTCATTTATGACTTGTGTGCAAAATTTGGTGTCAATCGGAGTTGTTTTGGTATGAATCGGTGTTGGTTTCGGAATTCGGAAGTTCATAGTTCATAGGCTTGAATTTGGGTTGCAATTCGTAGAATTTGTGTTATTTGATCTGATTTGTGGCCTCGAGTAGATCCATTATGTGTTTTGGAAGTTGTCGGTATATTCGGACGTGGTCCTGGAGGGGCCGAGTATGAATCGGATGAAAATCGGATCATTTTTTGACTTAATTATGTGTTGAAGTGTTGTTGTTCTGGTGTCTTCGCACCTGCGGAGGGTCTAGCTGCAGGTGCGGTCTAGCAGGTACGCCTTGGTCATTGCAGAAGCGGAGGATCTATCTCAGGCCTGGGTTCGCAGGTGCAGACGTCTGAGCACAGATGCGATTCCGCAAGCGCGACCCTTTTCTCTGCAGAAGCGAAATTTGAGAAGGGGGCCTGGGACAGGACTACAGGTGCGGTCTCCTTCTCCCCAGAAGCGGGCTCGCAGGTGCGAGCCATGGACCGCAGAAGCGGAACCCCTGGACTTAAGTAGAATCTGCACCTGGGATTGTTTTTTTCCACAGGTGCGGCGTCGCAGAAGCGACACAAGGGCCGTAGATGCGTGGATCGCTGGGGAGAAAAGGGGAATTTCGATGTTTGATTTCATAATTCATTTTGGGACTTTGAGAGCTCGGTTTGAAGCAAAATTTCGAGGGATTTTCAGAGGGATTGTTCGGGTAAGAATTCTTAACTTGATTTTGGTTAAATTACACTAATCTATCATTGTTATTATCATGTAATTAAGGATTGGAGTTAGAAAAATTGGAAAAAGTAGTAGAACCTCTTAGACTAAGTTTTTGGATTTTGAAAGGCAAAATGAGGTCGTATTTGGATAATTCTTATATGGTTGGACTCGATATCAAATGGGTGTTCGAATTTTATAATTTTGGCCGGATTCCGAGTCGCGAGGCCGGGGTGACTTTTTTTGGGTCGATTTTTCAATTCTTTGCAAAGGTCATAATTTCATTGTTTAAATTAGTTTCCGATAGTTATATTTTATAGTATGAAATTTTTTTGGCTATAATCGAGCTGTTAAGAGTTTCCCATAGTTATATTTATTGTTTCATTCCCATTATCCTTATTAGTATATCATTATATCTTTCGACTTATTTCTTATTATCTCCTGTAGGGTCTTGACCTGACCTCTTCACTACTCTACCGAGGTTATGTTTGGCACTTACTGGGTACTGCTATGGTGTACTCATACTACGCTTCTGTACATCTTTTTGTGCAGATCCAGGTACTTCCTATTAGTCTCGACATGTCATGACCCAAAATCTTGACCTGTCGTGATGACGCCTATCGTGGTTCTAGGCAAGCCGACATTTATGAAATAATTCCAACACTTAACAGAAAACAGATTTAAAACAGTTTAAATGATAACAACTTCTCATAAACAGGAAATCTAAAATACAACGCCGAAATTCCCAACATCGGGGTGTCACTAAGTACATGAGTATCTATACATCACAAGTCTGGAAAACATTATTTAATACAGTCTGAAACTAAATACAATAAGCAGAAATGTAGGGAAGGAAAGACAAGGTCTGTGAAACGCCGGCAGCTACCTCGAAATCTCCAGAAGGTCAACTATGCGCTAAAATCAACACCCACTATGTCCGAGAACATCTGAATCTGCATACGAAGTACATGGTGTAGTATGAGTACAACCAACTCAGCAAGTAACAATACTAAATAAAGAACTGAAGGTAGTGACGAGCTTTACAGCTATAGTTCAATTACAATGATTTTTTTTACATGGAAGGTAGGCATGCTTTCAAGTTCGACAATTAAGGCCAAAACAGTAATTTCATGTCAAGTTCAACTGAAACAGAGTGTAATATCTTTCAGAAATTATCAAGATAGTAATACATGGCAGCTAAGTGCAACAAATATGAAATCCAATGCATCCTCTCAGGGCCACAATCACTCAGCCATCCCATTCACTCAACACTCGGCACTCGGCACTCGCACTCAGTAGGTACCTGCGCTCACTGGGGGTATGTGCAGACTCCGGAGGGGCTCCTTCAGCCCAAGCGTTGTAATCTGCATGGACAACTCACGTGTTGCACGGACAACTCACGTGCTATAATATAATATCTGAATCCGCACGGACAACTCAGGTGCTATAGTATAATATCTGGATCCGCACGTACAATTCACGTGCTATAATATAATACCTCACAATCAGGCCCTCGGCCTCAATCAGTCATCAACCTCTCTAGTCTCTCGTGCTCTCAGAAATCATAATAAGCAGCACATACAACAATGATATGATG